TTTGGGGAATTTTTTTTTTTTTTTTTTTTTTAATTCAATGGTGGATGCGCTCTCATCCTTAGAAGCTCCTTAGATTAGAGTGGAAGGATGCAATATGTTGTTTCAAAAAAGCTGAGTTGGAACTAGCTGCTTCCGGTGGAGTTTGAACTTACATGGTTGGAATTTATGTGGTGATTTAAACTGGCCTTTGAATTTGGAGAACTCTTTGAATTGTTTTGATGCTGGAGAGAGATGAAAAAAATAATTAGATTCCCCAAATAACCCATACCTGCCATCTGTCTCACATTTGGGTCGTGGCACGGCCTTGCTATACTATTCCACTTGCTCCTGGTGGTATTTAAAATGTAATGAAATAAACTTACTTAGCCAGCTTGCCCTGACTCTCTACAGGAAGACCATGGGAGAAAGACAGAGAAAAGAAGATATAGTCAAGCTACATGAGTCAGTGCAGTACACCACAAAAATTTCTGGTCCTATGTTGAGCTAGTTCAGCACATCCCAGCCAAAGGTTGGCAGAAAGCATGGACAAGGTTGGCAAACGGTATCAATTGTTGAGTATCTGCTGGCAGTTGCAGGAGGAAAACTGTGCTGAAATGTACTGCTCTTAGGAAAAATTCTCCACACTCTACTAAAAAATCAGACCAGTTTGTCTTAAACACGGGAAGTGGACATGCATATCACAGCAAAAAGTTTCAGGAACAGGACATGGGGGTGGGGTGGGGAACAGTGCATATAACACCTGCAAAGAGGACAGTGATGAGCAAGCAACACAGTAAAATAAGAAAACCAAGCCTTAGTCCCGTATCCCACTCATGCATGCGGAGCCTGATGGAGAGAGGAAGAGGTATTTATTTTGGGAAGGAAGCACCAGGGGGTGGGTTCGTTGGCATGACTTGTTCTCTCAGCTTGGAAGCCAGCTTTGTCAATACGCTAGTCTTTAATGGGTAATGTTTCCTGGGCAGCTTCTAGCAAGCAGCACTGAGCAAAATAGGAGCAGCAAGGCTGGCAGATCTGTACTTTGTTGGCTATAGGTGATGAGCTAGAGGACCAGAAGCAGGGGCTGGAGAAAAGAGGTGCTGTTCTTAAATTCCAGCTCAAACCATCTGTAATCTGATGAGGAAAATGTGACGCAACAGAGTTGCTCAGAACATTGCTTTCTTCTTGGTCTGACAATTCAGCCAAGCCCCATTTACTTCAGGATTTAAAAAAAAAAAAAAAATGAATTGCAAATGTTGCTGTGGTACCTCCAGGAAGCTGCGTGTCAGACATTTCATGCTCCCTGGTTGGATTGCACCTCCCAGGGCTGGAGTTTTAATTTTTTAACAAAATAAAGCACTCTATGGAAAGCAGAACTTTTACACACATGCACGTGCACACACACACATGCGCACACACAGAGAAATAATCAGCATCTCCCACCGCCCCCACAATATTTGATGGAAAAATGAAATCAGGGCTGTTCAATTTCTGACGGGTCGGGTCGGGGAGGGGGGAGAAGTCACAGGCCCCCAGCCACACACTGCATGGGTCACACACCATGCTGCATGGCCCCCTCTGTGCTGAGCTGCACTGGCTTCCCCAACCCGCACTGCACAGCTGTGCCATGCTGTTTGGGCCCCAGCTCTGTGGCTGGTGAACTCTGCACTACACTAGGTCCCTGGGGCCCAAAGACACCGGCCATGGGCTACCTCATCCAGGGGGGCCATCTCCCCCAAGGGGCAGGAGCAGGCAGCAGAAGCTGGAGGAGGGAGGGGGAGCCCAGAAACGATGGCAGCAGCAGCAAGAGAGCAACGTGGGAAGCAGCACCTAGACCGGAAGCCCGGGGGCCACAAGTGAACCCTTTCGGCTGCCAGTTGGACAGCCCTGGATTGAATGAAAAATTTCCGTCATACCCAATAAATAATAAATAGGCAACATACAGGTCTCAGAATGGTGTAAGTACAGAATCAAATAGGAACTCCAAGGGACAGGCACTTATTTGAACCACTTGAACATCTGGAATCTGCATCATGAGGCAAAAATGGCAACTGTGAACAGAGAGAAGATGCCCTCTTTGGTTCCTCATGCCTCTCTCATGACAGTAACACTGCAAGAGCAGCATACACATTGCACAGGAGAGTCCATGCAGACTCAGAGAGGTTTCTTCATTACATACCAACGGTCTCACCTGTCGTTTAAATATTCTATGTAGTAATCCTTTCTTGGGTGGCTCTGGGGGGTAGCTTTTGTTTAGGTCTGGTGAAATAGTGCCATTTGGTCCAAACACATTTAGCTCTTTAAAACACTCTGTTTCGATCATCTGGTAAAACACAGAAAGAAGAAAGAGGGGATGCATCATCCTTATTTCATTACTAGCGTGTCAGTAGGCCAAAACCAGGATGAATGTCCCATTATGCCAAGCGTTACCCAAGCACAAAAGATGCTCTTCCCTAAGACACCTACAGTCTAAACTGGAACAAGACATGACGGGAGAATCTAGGATACAACATTATCACTAGGCAGTTTACTGCAGATGTTACAGTAGAGATAGGTTTGTAAAATGAACTTAGTGGTTTGTCAGCGTTAGCTTCCCAGCCTAACCTAACCATCCCATTCAGCTTCACTGGGTACATCTAACTCTGACAGCTGTTACACGTACAACATGATTAACTAGCTAATCACAACTTAAGGAGTGAGCTGATCACACTCTCATTCAATTAATGGTGTGATAATATGAAGAATAAGTCACAAAGTTGTGACATAAAATATGTGTAATTTAATTCAGTGGGTGGCCAGCTTCTGGAGCATAATGCAGATGTTCAAGACTCCGGTGCGCTCCAGAGGCTGGGAGCTCCTGATCAGGGCTTCCAGCTGGACGGCTGTGACCTCTGATCAGCAGATAGGGGATCCCTGCTGGGGGAGCACAGGGAGCCAAGCCTACTACTGCTTAGCGATGCAGGGGGAGTCTGGGATCAGGCTTCCTCTGTACCAGCAAGATGGAGTGATAGACTCTGGTGCTGCATCTCATAATTACATGTGTAGCATGGTAGGAGTGCGATTATTGGGATCCCACATTGGATCCCGCTGCACCTTTAAATTAACATCTGTCAGGGACCTAGTTCTCATAGGATACTGTCAGCCTATGATAGCCCGACCGTAGCTGGCTCATGAAAAAGTCTCACTGTTCTAAACAAGAAAATTTAGTGGGTTTTCCTACCATATTTATCACCTTCCAGAAGGTACTGTTAACACATCCAAAAAAAATCAATAGAGTGTAAAAAGCATCTTGTACCCCCAAGATTTTGAATGCTGGATTAGAGTGAATTGTATCGATCGTTGAATCTCTGCTGGCAGCTGCAGGAGGAAAACAAACTGCACAATCTAACAGATGGCTTCAATCTCGAATGTATATGATTCTGCACTATTTTAATAAGGTTTAATAAAGCAACTCCACAAAGAGTTTTGGTATTGTTTTTCTTTTTTCCATTTTAGAGAATATCAGACAAAAAACAGGCCTGTTTCCAACACCTCATTTCTGAGCATCCCTAATACTTGAGGAGGTTTGCACTTGATCCCGACTTGGAGACAAACTTTATTATGGGCTCTGTTTCTGTAACAGGCAGAAACAAAGCCTGAGCTCTGAAAACCCTGGCACTCCAGGAAAGTTCAGATCCAGACTCACTCAAATGCTGCAGCTGGGGCCCATCTCAGACATAAAACAACAAATGAGATAAGTGTCACAAATAAAGTCCCACATTAAGGCCGTAATCCATTCTGCGGAAGTTTTGCAAAGCTGCTATCAAAATGTCTCTATGGAAATCCAGCAGGAGGAAGTACAGTAGGGCCCTTGCCAATTTACACAAATATGCAGAGCCAGCAGATACAGTCACCTGAGCCTGACATCTGTGGTACATTATAGATTTTGAAAGAGTGCATTTGTAACTTATGAAAGCATTAGACTCTGGCAAGTTACCCAGTAGGTATATATTACTGGAAGTGTACAGCTCCTCTTAAATAGTCTGGCCAGGGTTTTGCTTTGGGGTGATACAGTCATACTGTATCCTTACCTCATTTTGCCATGGTATAGATACTGATCCTGTGGAAAACTTAGAATAGAAATCATCATCTGTTTGGTCCAGGTTTACTCCTTTCACTGTTGAGAATTGCTCTATGTCTAACACATCCTTGCAGTACACTGCTCGGGGCTGTCTCAGCAAAAAAAGAGGGAGAAAATACTCTTTAGTCTGGCCATGTGCTCCAATTCACATATTCAATCAAATGAGAAGGCTTAACAATAAGTGACAATTTGCATCCTCTTTTCCTAGACTTGTTCTGCCTGTGGGCTTGTCATCAAAGGCTGACTTGCTTTCAGTATTTTATGCTTCCCACTTTGAAGTTCCTTAAAGCATCTACAGAGCCAAAATGGCTTTACTCATCCATGCAGCACACGGTAAGAGGTGAGGTGAAGACGACGGAGTAAAACAAAAAAGTTGAGTTTTCTTTCAGAGAAGGATGTGGAGAGGGAAGGCGTTTGAGGACTAGGAGATTCTTAAGAAATGCATGCCTGAGATGGCTCTGTCTCCCCGAAACAGGACTCTCATTCTGTCTCAAGCTGCTGTCATGTTTGCAGAGTGAAGCTTTGAAGGAATTAACATTAATTGCTAAATAAAACACAAGAGGTTTGGAATTTTTCCATTGTTTTTCTTAGCAGCTCAGCTCTCTTGCAGATGTTGGACCCTATCCAGAGCCACCCCTATAACTTCCCTGTGTTTTCTTCAAAGGAAAAGTGAATCGCTTCTAACTATTTTAATACAGTACTTAGTACTTTTCATACAGTACCCTGAAATTAGACAGTGGCATCTCTCAGATGAGAGATCATTAATCAGCCATAGGGAACAGGAACCAGAAATAGTTCCCAGTGGTTATCTATCATAGTCAGCGTGGCCATACTGTCTGCGTAGCGATCTCTCACCGATCGCACAGGGAGACAAAGGCTTTGTTTCGACCACTGTGTAACCTTGGGCAGATAGAGTCACTTCTCTCTCTCAGTTTGCAAAATGGCGGGACAACCAAACATTTTAAGAACTACGGACAACATGAGTTATGCAAATGCTACATTCTGCAAATTGGGTGCAGCTCTCAATTTCCCCCAAAAGTTGCCAGGTTGCCCTTAACGAGGCAAAAATTTATGGGCCTCCACTTTAGCGAATACATGCAAAACTGATGCTTGGTAGTCTTTCCATACCTCAGTTAAGCTTTTAGTACACTCAAGTTGAACCCACAGTTTGCACACAGCATTTTCTAATTATCTACATCAGAAAGAAATAGTAGCTTGTCTCCTAATTCTTCCCATTGAAGCAGGTCATAACACCAGGGTCTAAGTGGCAGGAATAGCCAGGCCACATAATAAACTGCAAAGCAAACCAGAACAGCTAAAATAAACGTTTGTAGCTTTCAAACCACTTTGGTTTGGTTAAGTTTGCAGCAATGTAAACTGGAGCTGCCAAACTGTTACATTCCCTAATAAGTCAAAACAACAGCGTTTACTTTGAACTATACAGGAATGCTAAGGGTGGGAAGCCCAGCCAGAAGGGCAGGCTTGGAAGAAAATAATCCTGTAACTCCATGTACCGGGGTGGAGTTATATATCTCAAGGGCATTTAAAAGTTTTGTTGCTGCTGCTGCGATACTGACTTCCAGTGAGGGACACATCAGAAAAGGAGATTAAGGGTTGGGCTCTATTTCATATAACTCAGCATCAAGCCTCCTGACTTGATGGGTGCTTGATAGCTGAACCTGGTTCTAAAATTGTGAACACCTGAATGACGGTCCTGGATTTTGGTGTTGGACCTGGATGTATATCTACTGAAGGTATGCATATGGCTTCTCGTCCTGCAGTATCTGGATGCATCACAGTCTTTAACACATTTATCCTCACAGCCTCATGGTGAAGTCAGTGAGTGCTGTTATCACCATTTTACAGAGAGAGACGTGGGGTTACAAGGGACCTTAAGGCCACGAACACAAGATGTATTATATTATAATAGAAACTGAAGTAGAGAAAGACTAGGCGACATGCCCAGGGTCACACGGGAAGTCTGTAGTGCAGGTCATGGAAAGTGAGCTTCTCTTTGGCAAGTATCGGGCTAGCAGCATACCTGCTGGCCTGATACCCTTCCTCTCTGTACGTAATAACTTACATACTTGTCTGACCTTTCTGAACTGCGTCCCTCTCTAGAAGCAAACTCCATGAAAATCCCCACTTCCCTGTGAACTCTTGGCTACTTGCAGGAGCGCTGCTGCTGGCTTGCAATGTTCACAGGACACAAAAATGGAGGAGAAATACGTTTTGTTGTATTTCTCCTCCATTTTTGAGAGAGAAGGCTGAGCTTAAGTTTGAAGTTCAGCTTAGGAAAGGGCTCCATTTAACCAGTTCACCTGTCCTAATGGGTGCCCAAGAGGCAAATGGAAAAAAAACAAAGGCACTGACAGATATAGAAAAGATAAGCAGACAGTTATTTTAGAAAGACATCTCAAGAAATCCTCAGATCCTGGAAAACTGTTGGATTTCTCCATCATACTTACATCAGGGACAAAGGGAGGATCCAGCATTCCTGCTTCTAATCGTTTGAAATTCATACTCTTGAAAAACGGGTGTCTCTTCACTTCTGCCGCACCTTCTCCCTGACAGCCCATCCTCTGCTTCACATCTTTGGTTAAGAGCTGAAACCAGCCAAGAGGGACTGTAAGAAAGTTTGAAAAGCCCTACAGTGTTTCGTTCTGGTTTTTTAAAAATGTTTGAATCACGGTCTGGGAAAGCACCAAGTGGAGCTCTTGCTGTTACAGAGAGGATAAGGCAGGCAGGATCCCACAGCACTCAGCACCGTTCAGACACTCAGAAAATGACCTGCCTAAAGAGGCTACCATATAAATACTGTTTCATGGTCTTTCAGAACCTCCTTTATTTTATCCTCAACAGGCAGTTATAAGAAATGGAGGCTTGGCAATCCCTTCATAAGCACCTGCCCCCCCTCCCCAATCTCTTTGAGTAAGACACAACTACTAGACAGGTTTGCCTGGGCTGCTTTAAGCTGTTTGCCTAACCATTAAAGTTACAGTTTTGCACTTTTTTGCCTTCCCCCACGTAATATTTTCCAGTAGAACATGTTTCTCGACTCTGAAAGCAAGTCGCTTATATGAAGGAGTGAGGAAAGTTCATCTGTGCCCTTTGAGATTTGGAAAAGATGACAGAATGAGTTAGGCTGCAGGGGATTCCAGTCTGCTTGCTGGGTTTCCCTCATAGGGCAGTGGCGATTAGCTGAACTCAACCTAATTGATAAATCAGATAAGCATGCACATGGAGAAGTGCGTGGGGAAGGGTTTATTAGAACCAGAGCTCCTGGGGAACCCGGTACGTATAGAGGTAATTGATTTGGGAGAGGCCAGTAATCTCCTTGAAAGACAGCATTGGGCAGAGATATTCTAGCGGATAAGGATGTAAAACGTACAGGCAAAATGTCACTGAACCCTAATCCTTTTAAGACAAGTACACGTAAAGAAGCAGAACAATCTAATGATGATTATTTTCTATGCAAGGGGGGCTGCGCATATATAACAGGCAACCCACAAAGCTGGTTTAAGCCCATTACAGATTGTTTTTACAGATAAGTCAAGCTTGAGAAATTCCATTACAGGGCAAAAGTGACAGTAACCCAAAAGATTGGTTTTCTTTTTTCTTTTCATTCACTTCAAGTGGCTTTTTTTTGCACTTGGCTGCTTTTTCAGCCAAAGCAGTGAAACAGGAGCCCGAGCTCAGAAAAAACTTAGACTGGCCTAGAGATTATAGCTGCCCAATAAAGTGATCTTGGCTTCCACTTGAGTAAGCAAGGAGGGTAAAAATGTATTAAAAACAACTGCTTTTCCAAAAAGACTAAGGTGAGATTCATTTCTGTTTCCTCTCTGTAGGAAAAACTGACGTCTAATGCTGGAGGATTGATGGAGGGTACAATATTGGCCCTGAGGAAGGGGATGACTCCTGGAGTTCGGGGCGTGCCGTATGGTCACGTCAACCAACTTTGACTTTGGTCCTTTGGTTTTGAAAAAGCTGCCAACGGTGTACTACATGGAAACAGAAACCCATCAAAAGGCTGAAATGGACTTCATTATCCTGCACTAGCAGCAAGGCTTCAGACGGGGAACCTCTCCCCTGTCACACATTGAGAAGAGGAGAAAATGCGGGAGGGGCGCATAAAAAAAACCCAAAGCTTCATCGTGAATAGGGAGAAAAATCATGGTGCTGCGTTGCCCAGTGGGCAGAGCAGCTCGGTCCTGAGAACAGCCTGATCCAGCAGGGGGCAGCCGAGGAAAAGCTAATTGCAGACACAGCTGCATTGCAAACCTTGAGCGTTTGGGCAACCTTGTACTTTTAACAGCATCGAAAGCCTTGCTGAGTGAATAAAGCCCAGCGAAAGAGACTCCGGCACAATACAATTTGCGTTGCCCGAGTATGCGGGCTGACCAGTTCTCCATCCTCAGGAGGCAGGTGTCTGGTAGGGACTTGGATCCTGTTTCTGGAAAACTCCCCAGGGAGGCAGCTGCCACAGCTGAAAGGCTTTCCAACAAACAAATATGTGCGATTCTCTCCCCGCGCGGCACAATGGAGTTGCATTTTGCTCTGGTTTTAAGGGACATTGGGAATGCAACCCTGGGCGGGGGGCAGAGCGGAAGGGCAGCAGACCAGCTAGCATGGGTGCTCACCCTCCCCTGCCTCCAGCTCTCCTACGTGGGAGCTTTACTGCAGCGAGACCCTGGGCGTGGGGGGAGCCTTCGCGCATCTCCCTGAGAGACGGCCGCCGAGGTAGATTTCCACGTCTCCACCTTGATGTTAAGATCTTGTTTTGGTTCTCGAAGCACACGGCAGCCCGATGCCTGGGGAATATTGGGTTTCCTCTTTAGCCTTAGCGATGATCTGATAGACTCGGCAGCCAGAAAATGAGGGTGTAGTCTCGGTCACCTGCCTGTTAGAGAGCTTGGCATAGGGCACATCGCACTGGTGGGTGGAGAGGGGAGGGAGAAGAGGTGCAGAATTGTATTGCACAGTCCAGCGGACTGGGAGTCATCAGAGGCGGCCCCCCAGCCCTGGGAGCACGGACCTGGAGGAGGCAGGGGGGGCTGAGGGAAGGCTGGCTCAAGAGGCCACATGTTGGCCTTCTACCATGTGATGTCTTTCAGTGCCCTCTGGCAGAGAAATCATCTCAACTACAGACTTTGGCGGAGAAGAAACCTTGAAAGGACTGTTTGTTCCTAACAGCATTGTAATCTCTCCTCTGGTGCCTGGTTAGTGGCAGAGTTTTCCTTGGCTTGTAGGATCCTATTTCCTAGGGCTTCTTCAAACAGTTTGCTGCCTGTATAACATCAACAGTTTGATTGTCTACCTTCCACTGCACAGTCCATAAATCCTGCTTCATTTCTGCAGTCAGTGCCACGGACCTCACTGCAAAGTGCATCCGTAGAAACATGCCAGATACCAAAGCCTCTAATGCAGCACTGACTGCTAGGTTTCAGGTGGGTGGTTTGCCCTCTGAAAGAAAGCTACGGCTTCTTGGG